ACTGGTGTCCGGCCTGGGGCTGGTGCTGCCCCAGAGCCTCCGGCAGCCGGGCATCCCTCACTGCAGGCAACAGCCCTCTCCTCACAGGGCTCCAAACACTTCTATAGTCTAAACCTTTGTCTCATCAATGCGGGGGCTCGTTTGGTTTTAGAAAATGTAAGCCATACAGGGTCTTCTTCTGTCCTTTCTTTGAGGGAATAGAGGCTAGAGCGTTTCTGTTGGTGGTGGTTTTGTTTGTTGCTTTTTCTTTTTTTGCTAATTTTGCCCCACCCCGTAAGAAGCCATGCGAACTAGAGGAGCCCAGGATTGCTGCGTCCAGACCCCCTCCACCCGCTTCCTTCTTCCCCTGTTCTAGCTGTTTCCTTTGGCTCCCATCTGGAGTGTGAAGGAGAGTGGAGGGAGAAGTTTCTCACTGCACCAGGAGACCCTGCTTTTAGGCCTGGAGCTCGGAACAACTCCATTTCCCGTTACCAGGCCTGGCTGCTGGCGGCCGGAGGCACCCCGGAAGGTGGAAGGTGTGGCCTCCGGCAGCTGCACCCAGGACGTGGAAGCTTGGGCGGGGCCCTGAAGGCTTGTCTACCCTGACTTCTCCGGTGAGGATTTGAGTAGGCTCCGCGTGGAAATGCCCACAAAACATTTGCAACCACCAAGCCCACTGGTGGAAAACTATGGCCCATAGAGGCAGGACCTCCCTGTGCACTGCACTCACGGGGAGGGGGCTGCCTCCACAGACCACAGCTCTCATGGCTGGGAGTTTCCCCCTGACTCTAGGGTTGTCCAGCCCAGAGACAGGATGTCAGCACTCTCAGGAGCTGTCCCCTGCTCCCACCTCCCAGGAGCTGTCCCCCGCCCTGTTTCAGAACTGGGGGCCTCCGAAGGGGGTCCCTGTTCTGACCCATGAGGCCCGGCTCCTCTCTGGCTGAGCTGGTGGCTGGTGAGAACAGTCCCGCCCTTAGGGTCCTGGTTATGTGGGTCCCCTTGTCCCTGGGAGGTGGAGGGGGCGATGCAGAGAGCGGAGGGGCAAGGGCAGGTGGGCACAAGAGCAGCAGAGTCAGAAGAGGGCGGCAGCATCTCAGACCAAGGCCGAGGAGGAAGATGGGGATGCCGAGGAGGCCGCAGGGGACGACGGGGAGGAGGGACTGTTCCAGAACAGCCACCGCCGCTTGGGCTGCCGCTTCAGGTGGAGATAGTCCTCCTTCTCCCGCTCCTTCCGGGCCCGCTGGTAGTGATCCTCCTCCTTCAGGTACCACACGGGCGGCCAGCGGTGCTTCTCAAAATACTCCTGGTTTTCTGGAGCAGAATGCAGTGGGGCTCGGTTAGAAGGAAGGCAGAAGGGGCGAGAGGAGCCCTGGGACATGAAGGGAGTCCAGGGACCCCCACCCCCACCCAGATGCCTCGGGGACCGGTCAGCCCAGAGCACATCCCAGGCCCTGGGCCGCAAGGGGAAGCCCCTGCCTTCACAGGAGCCCACACCTGGCTGCAGAGCTCCCTAAAGAAGGTCCCATGGGAAAGTCTCAAGGGGTGCTTCCTGTGTCCTGGGAATAAAACGGGGGGAGGAGGGGCAAAGAACGAGGCAGGGAGCAGGTGAAAGGGAGACAAGCGGGTGAGAGAAGGGTAGGGTACAGAGACAACCTGGGAGCAGGGAGGAGGGCCCAGCAGAGTGGAGGTTGCCCAGTGCGGAACTCAAGGACACCGAGTGGCAGGAACTCGGGGAGGCCAGGGACACCTTTCCCAGGCCTGGCCTGCCCCTGTTGGGCCCCAGGACCTGACACATTCATGACGCAGAGGCAGAGTCCCAGGGCCTCAGAGGCTATCCGGATGTGTGTTGCCCGAGCTGTGGCTTGTGGCCATTCCTACCTTGTGAAACCAGTGTAGTACCATGAGCAGAATTATGAACAATTTATGTCTTTTCTATATGGGTCCTGGGTCACCATGTAAAATGTAGTTCTTACTGTGGAGTGCTGTCCAGGAAGTCTGAGAAAATACCTCTAGTCCCACACCCTCTTTATATGTGTGAGACACAGAAGCCCAGACAGGTGGAGTGAGCTGCCACCGGTCCCCAGCTGCGCTGCCCACCAGGCCGGCGCTGTTCCCCTCTGCTTGGCCGGATGCAACTTTGCAGGCTGCTTCCCTCCTGCAAGGTCAGGTTAGGCCCACGGACCTTTGGCAGCTGCCGGGTGCCCTGGGTCCGGTCGGAGATCTGGACCAGGGTGGAGGCCCCTTCAGCGTGAAGCGGGGGATCAGCAGGTCCTGCCGGGGATGCTCACCTGGGGACATGGCCTTCATGTCTCGGGGGAACTTGCGGCACACGTTGTTGTAGTTGGTGCAGATGTGATGGAGACACCAGTCTGCCAACTGGTACGCACAGTGGAACTGGGGAAACACAGAAGGGCGCCGTGCTGATACCCAATACGGGGTCAGCTCGGGCAGCTCCGGTTGCTGTCAGAGCAGAACCTTCAGTGCAGGTGGCAAAGGCCGTGCAGTGAGTGGGAAAGCCCACCTGGAGAGGCACAGCCACACACACTCTTGGCACCACCATCACCATGACCACCACCAGCACCACCACCACCACCACCTCGCTAACAAAGAAACAGATGGAAATCCCAGGCCCTACGTTGTGGCTTCCTACTGTGTCTGCCTCCTCAGATCTTACTCTGGGCGATGTTCTTCTCTTCCCCGGCCGGGGCCAAAGCAGTCTACACTAAGGTGTTGATGACTGGGCTCAGAGCTGACTTTCCCAGGTGTGTCTGCAAGCCTCGAATCTGGCATGCTTTAACTCCAGAACTGATCTTCAGTGCTAGAAGGGCCGGTGTGGGGGATTCTGCTAGTTTGTATGGGAATAAGGAGGTGGGCAGTCAATTTTAGTCCTGCATGTCCCTTAATTGACCTCAGGCAGACAGCAGCCATGTCCACACAGGAGGCTGGGGTTCGCTCCCCTACCCTATGGCGGCCTGAAGTCTCAGCCCCACGCTCCCACGCCAGCTCTCCTCTTGGCAGGTCAGGGCACATCCTTTGGCCAGGAGGAGGAGAAGGACTCTCCCAGTCAGGGAACTGGGTCTGACAATGGGTTCCCTTCCTACCCACCACCTCCCAGCCCCTCCCCTTTCACTGCCGATGGTCAGAGAGAGCCTAGAGTTGAACCTGTTGGAGAGAGCCCTTCCCTGGTCACCATACCTGAGCCAGTTCCAGGAACACAAGGACGTCCCCATCGATGTCCACCATCATCTGAGTTGCTTCCATCAGCCCGGTCACGGTGTACTGCTCTGTGACACACACAGCCAGGAGTCAGCTGCAGGAGCACATGAGTGGCCATGTGCTCGCTTATCCCCCCAGCAGGGGCCCTACTGCAGGGCAGAGAGAGCAAGGCCAAGGGCAAGTCCCGGCAGGCCCAGGGAAGGCCGCAGGCGATCAGAGTCGGCTCCCACCAGCAAGGTAACCGAATTAGAGCAAGACTGCCCCAGCGGAGCGGGTGGGCACGGAAGGAGGATGCTAGTATTGGCTAAGAGGATTTTTTCAAGCTACATATGCTGCTCCAAATAGCCTGATACACGTAGGATGAAAGCCCCGGATGGAATCAGCCACTGCAACTGCCAGGGGGAGGGTATGAGGTCCAGTTTGCTGAGAACTATGAGTTAGAACTCCAGATTAAACCTAGCTGCTGGTGTTAACTTAAATTTCAGAACGAATCGTGGACTAATGTTGCTTTTTAAGTTAGTGTTCATACTGAAGAAGTAAATACTTTTAGTCCTGAATTTTAACAGTATCAGTATAAACTCCTGAGGTATTTTATCTTTAAAAATGTATTTCCCAGCTCAGTCCTAGCGACATGGAAACGACCTAGCGACAACAGCCCTCGCGGCAGAAGGAGCATTCCTGGTGCTCAGGCTGCAGCCCTGAATGCCATTTCCGGCTCTCGGGCACCAGGATCTCATAGAGAAAGGGCTAATTCCAGGTCTGGGGCAGGAAATGAACACAAGGATCCTGAAACACCTCATTCCACAGAACCACTTTGTTACTAATATTGTGGCCCCACCCCATAACAAAGAAACAGAATTTCCGGAGGATGAGGCCCAGAAATCAAGAGTTTAAAAAGATTCCCAGGTGATTCTAATGTGCAGCCAAGGTTGAGAGCCACTGATCTAAGGGTTCACAATAATGCTTAAAAAAAAAACAAACAAAACCTAATTGGTCACCCTCAAAGGATGAAAGGATAGGAAACAAGTTTATCTTGAAATCTGGATAAAAGGAAAGAATCAAGCAGTCACCTGCCTCTCCTATTTGAATTATGCCATTGGTTAACCAAACAGTAGGTGAGGAGTTTTTCTCTTTCTGGAAATATTCCAACAGATAAACAAAGGAGGAATGACTGAATTGGAGCACAACCATTTCACAGCTAATAAATGAATGGATCCAGGCAATGATGCTCAATGGCTGATAACATCACGACAAGAGAGAAAAACACAGACACAACCTATGAAGTGTCTTGCCCAAAGAAAACGGAATGTGAATGTGATCTAGCTTCTATGTCTAATAACTAGTCTATGGGAAGTATGGTGCTACATAGAAATACAGTCAACTAAAAATCTAAATTTTCTAGATCAGTGGGTGCTTTGCAAGGGGAAATTTTCCTCTTTCTCTCTCTCTCTCTTTTTTTATGTCCTCACCTGAAGATATATTTTTGTTGATTTTAGAAAGAAAGGAAGAGAGAGGGAAAAAGAGGGAAACATCGATGTGAGAAACATCAATAGGTTGTCTCCCACATGCAACCTGACGGGGGAAGGAACCTGCAACCTGAGTACGTGCTTTCACTGGAAATCGAACCCGTGGCAGGGAACGACTCTCCAACCAACTGAGCCACACCGGCCAAGGCAGGAAAATTGTTGTTTTTTTAATGAACAAGGTACCTATAGATGAAAAAAAACTTTAAAAGTATATCAAAAATAAAACCATGCTAACATGATTAAGGATATAAAACAGGTTTATCATTTGGATGATAAAACTATGAAGACCAAGGAAGTGAGGCCATAAAAAGCACCTCCCAAAAGAGTAATAGGCAAAGAGGTAACTCCTGGGGAGGAGGGAAGGACTGTGATTGAGAGGGACGGGTGGAAGACTACTGTGTGGCTGGAAGGTTCTAGCTCAGGGGTGGGCAAACTTTTTGACTTGAGGGCCACAAGGGGTTCTTAAACTGGACTCAGAAGAAGGAGCTGCGGCAGTGTTTCCCGACGTTGCCACGTTAACACTGCTGCTGGTGAAGGAGTGGAGGGCAGAGCAAGAGAACCCTCCGCTCTTTCGGCTCCGCGGGCCGGATAGAACAGCCGAATGGGCGGGATCCGGCCCGCGGGCCATAGTTTGCCCACGGCTGTTCTAGCTCCTGATATGGGTCATTTTGCTTTATAATAATTCATTAAGCTGAACATATGTGTTTTGTGTTATATTTAATAAAAATGTTTTAAGCTTGAATTTATAACTTCAGAGAAAGCATACCTCACAAAACATAAAGCATCACCAGCTATACCATCCCCGGCATTTTCTGCTGATCCTTGATAAGGTATACACAAAACATTTTTGTACATGATTTCTAGCGTGCGTAGACCATTTCATGGGAAAAATCATTCAAGATCATTGTCTAGGAGCCTTTCCGCGCATCACTGCCATTTAACATTTGTAAGGCTACCTTGTGAAAATCACCCACGTGTGCTCAACCAGTGGTGCCTATTAGACTGGTCTCTGATTGGCCGCCATGATGAAACAAACGTACAGAAGCATCTTTATATACTTTTGTCCTTTGAGTCATTTCTTTGGAGATTGTCTTTCTAAAGTTGAATTATTTGCCCGGCTGGTGTGGTTCAGTGGCTGAGCGTTGACCTATGAACCAGGAGGTCATGGGTCTATTCCTGGTCAGGGCACACATCTGGGTTGCAGGCTCGATCCCCAGTAGGGGCATGCAGGAGGCAGCCAATCAATGATTCTCCCTCGTCATTGATGTTTCTATCGCTCTCTCCCTCTCCCTTCCTCTCTAAAATAAATAAATAAAATAAAGTTGAATTACTCGGCCCAAGGATGTGGACAGCTTATGTGCTCTGAGAAGCCCGCACCACTTTTCATGGACAGTGCGGATGCCATGCTGTCACAGCTGTGATCTTCAGAAGCCTTCCTCTTGCTCCCTGCCCTTACACCCTCTGTGTCCCCAGCTGGGGCCCCTGGACTCCCTTTGCAGGCTCAGCCCTTACCCTTCCGGTTCTGATCAATGATTTCTGCCGTCTTCCTATGACTAAGCCCTGCCTTATGACCATTTCTCATCATAAGGTTGATGCTTCCCTTATATCTGAGATTTGATCATCTGCCCAGGGCCCCAGCAGCTCTGACACGGGGGCCTTCCCTGAACCTCGACCCAATGTCAGAGGCCCTGCTCTCTGCCTGTCCGCCAACCAGCCAAGACTATAACCCCGATATCAACACCAGTCTAGGTACCAATGCCAACACCAATACCACACAGATTCCAGTTCCAGCATCACCAGGAACTGTCTGTCTGCCTGCATTGCTGGCCCCAACTCTCATGGTCTGCTGCTTGGCTTCCCTCTTGCTTCAGTCCCTGTTCCACCTGAGGGCCCTCTAAGGCTGGTGCCTTCCAAAAGCTGAGCTCCAGCCCTGGCCGGGTGGCTCAGTTGGTTGGAGTGTCTTCTCATATACCAAAAGGTTGCAAGTTCGATTCCCAGTCAGGGCACATACCTGGGGTGTGGGTTTGATCCACAGTTAGGGAGACTATGGGAGGCAACCGACTGATGTTTCTCTCTCTCTTTAAAATCAATTTAAAAAAATGTTCTTGGGTAAGGATTAAATAATAACTAACTAACTAACTAAAATAAAATAAAATAAAATAAAATAAAAGCTGAGCTCCAGTTCTCACAATCTTTTCAGTGAATTAGAGGAGTGGCAGGTCAATGCTCATTATCTGTTTCTGGAAGAAGAAAGAGAAAATAAAGGTGGAAGAGAAAAGGAGGAGGAAGAGAAAAGGGAGGAGAAGGAAAAGGAAAGAATACAGAATAAAGCAGATTTATGTGACCAAACGAGACAAAGGAGGGGGAGGAGGAGGAGGACCGAAGGGTGGAAACGGGGAGCTGCGTCCTATTCTCTCTGACCCCTCAGGCAAGCCACGTTGAGGGGAGCACCAGGCACTGGCATCTACTGGAGACTCTTTTGCAGGGCGGGAGTCGCCTTTGGATACGACCTACCGGTGACTCCATCGAGCACCCTTCTCACACACACTTCATCACATCTGTGTCCTCACCCAACGCCCCATACACGTCAACATGCTTCCTGTAGGTCAGCGGGTCCCTCGGTGCTAGCGGTGTATCCCCAGGGAGGAGCCAGGGGGGGAGTAGCCAGCACTGCTGGCAGGTCCCCTGCCTCCTCCCCCAGGGAGGTCTGCGCACTCCTTAGTCACCTGTGAGGGCTACCAGGTGCGGCAGGCAGAGGCGGTTGGCCAGGATGATGAGCTTCATGTCGTCCAGGTCGGGGCTGGAGGTGAACATGCCGGTGTACAGGTACTCCAGCACCGCCCGCATGCAGCTCCTGCTCGTGTGCGGAAACACCACCTGGGGCAGAGACACTCACTCTGAGAAACTCAGAAGGCCCCGCCCCTCACAGCCGGTCCCCCCCAAACAGGGAGCCACCCCTGTGCAGCCCCTGCACCTGCTGAGGGGCCCCCAAAGACCTGCCTCCCAGAGAGACAGCCTGTGCTAAGCCCATCTGCTGGCCGCATCAGGGATCAGGGCTCTAACAGCTTTTTAAAGGACCTGGTTCTCACTGGCACCCTTCCGGGGCACCCTGGCTTAGAGGATGCGGGCAGCAGTCCTCAGGTCACTTGCACCCACACCCTGGCTCCTCCCAGCCCTGCAGGCAGCAGAGCAAGTGGGGTGTGGACAGGCAAGCCAACATCAGCTGGCTTCTCGAAGCTGCTCCTGTGGGCCTCCGGGATCTGCTCAGAGCGGCGCTGCTTCAACAACTGCTTTCTCATGAGACGGAGTCGTAGGCTGCGCTGGGACCCAGCTGGAGCTTCGCAGCCGCTTCTATGGTACTGAGAAGTGCTCAGGGCTGGCCGGCCCTGGGGCTGCAGAGTCCCTTGTCTCTCACTTAGCAAATCCCAACCCCACGCCCACTTCAAGGATCAGAGACCCACTCAAATCTCAACCTCCGCTTAGTTCTCTTCCGAAAGGACTTCTTCCTGGAAATCCTAGGAAATTCCTAGAGCCCGTCGCAGGGACTGTGCTGCAGTGTTCAGTCCAGTTTTCCCTCCAGGTACTTGGCGAGCACTCACGAAGGGGCAGCGCTGGCTGAGGGGCGCCTGGCCGAAGTAAAGACCCAGCCCCTGCACTCAAGACACCCCAGACCAGCTGGGAAACCGCGTGTGCACACTCAGCACTTTGAGCAGCTGCACAAAGTAGTACTTTGTTAACTGCAAGGCTGAGTTAATGAATAATTAATGTAATAGAAGTTCAGGGAAGATGGAGAATACCAAGGCCGCGGCCTAGGCCACTCTGCTGAGCTGGGAGAATGCGAGGATCAGACTTGAGAGAGTTTCTAAGGACACACTGATAGGCCCCTTCCAGCTCTGCTGACACTCTCTGTCCTAAGGTGAGTTGGAGTGGCCGTGATCAAGGGATCAAAAGGTGACGATGTGAAGTATTTTGTATTTTCTGTATTTTTTTTATTATTCCCATCCTTTTTATTTTATCTTTGATTTTTAATTTCTTTCTAGATTATGGTATTACATATGTGATGCTGTGGCACCTGGAGCCGAGGGCCTGCCCCTCCCAGGGCTAGCCAGCTCCAACAGACAGTAAAGGAATCCCTTTTGTATGCAAACCAACCAATCCAGAATCCACACCCCCACCAGCTCCTTGATCAGCTCACACTCCTAGCCACTGTCCACCTGCCCTAATCGCCCAGAGCCAGGCACCAGATGACTAGGACAACCCCTAGGCCCCAGAGCCTGCTACATGAACCAAGCCAGCCCATCTGAGAGCTTACCCTGCCTCTCCCTGTCCTTTCTTCCCAGGAAACCACAATAAAGGCCACTGCCCACAGCTCCCCTTGCTCTCTGTCTCCTGGCCAACCCTGGTGCCTCCCCATGTGCTCCACCCCTCAGCCCCCATGTGCGTGCGTCCTCTTACTAGATCTGTGAGTGTAAAATGTATCTTTTCAATGGCAGTCTCGTCCTGATCTGTTATGTTCACCATGCCTCGATTAATAAAACTTACACTTGAAAACAGTGATGGGTTCAGCCGGGGACACACTGGACTTTTTTCTAGTTGTTTCATATGTGTCAGGGAGAAAGCAAGGTACAGTGTGGAGTCAGAGGTTCTAAGTTCAAGTTCTAGCCTCTCCTTTCTACTTAGACACCTTTGCACGAGTCATTAACCACTCAGGCCCTCGCTTCCCTCATGTATAAAGTGGGAATCCTAAGCCATGTACGAGAGGCTGGGGGAGGCGATCTGAGATAATGTATTGAAAGTGCTTTCTAAACTACAGAGTCAAGATGTTACTATAAGTCCATCCTGATGTATTGTGAATCCTTGGCTATGGGAACCACCTCATAAGCTTCCCTCAGGCCCATCTCCTAGTGAATGCTGAGGAAAGCACCATTAAATGACACATCTCAGAGGCAAAGAAGCCTTACCTCCCGGGTGGAACTCTCCACAAACGGCCCCCCAAACATGGCAGCCATCCAGTCGCAGCTGGAAATCAACAGGGGCTTGTGGGCGCTGATGGTGCCGTCATCCAGGATGAAGGTCACATCTGCCCAGGAGGAGACGAAGCATCACGTGAGGATGCGGAGAAAGAATGTGGGGCAACCAACCCCAAGGGTCGACCCCGCACCCAGACAACACGCTTCCTTCTGAAGCCACAGCTGGGACGCGCCACCTGGCCACACGCTCAGGTTCCAGGTGGAGCCAGCACCTCGCAGGGCATCAGCAGCCGAGTGCTACTTGGAACCTGGGCCCCTCAGAAGGCCACTGGGAGGGCACCCCTCTGCCTTCTGGCTACGAGTTCCTAAGCACATTCCCTACCTGAGAAGGTGCCCTTTGCCAAGCACTCCTTCACCCGGTTGGTCCGGCGGACGTGGAAGGCCTTGGTGATCTCCTGGTTCATGAAGGCCTCGTTGTTGAGAATGTTGGCCACCATCATGCGCAGATCAAAGACCTCAAGCAGCTCGGCGATGTGGGCGATGTGCATGAGGTCCCGCTCCTTCTCGTCCAGCTCCCCCGTGTACAGGTACTTGAGAACCGCCCGGAAAGGCCCCGGCTGGATGGAACTGTCCATTTTCACCACCACCATCAGCCTGGATTTGTAGGTCAGTGGGTCCTCTGCCATCTCCTCCTGGATGCTCAAAAAAGCTCGGCTCCAGGAAGACAGCACGCGGCCTCTCCCAGGCAGGTACCCTGATCCGTTGCCCCGTAAGATCCCGTCGCTGGTGGAGGCCCGGAGCCCAGCGGGGCCCGAGCCCGCACCGTCCTCCACGCTCTCGCACACGTCAAAGCTGGCGGCCCGGAGCAGGAAGTCCCGGCCGTGGTGGTGGTGATGGTGGTGGTGTGGGTCAGGGTGAGCCCGGTTGTCCTCTGGGCGGGGGCCCCCAGGCCCCGAGGGGCCCCCCAGCTCCCCGTCACTCAGGTCCATGAGGAACAGGTCGTAGAACTTGGAGGAGGACGTGGAGAGGTAGATCTTGTGGGCAAAGATGCGCACCCGCTCCTGCAGCACCAGAATGACGTCCGCACACAGCGGGTCCTCCAGGAGGTGGGCGGGGCACTCCTCACTGCTGGAGGGGGGGTCGGGCACCACAATGATGGGGGGAGGCGGCTTGGGGGGTAGGAAGGGTGCCTGCAGCAGAGGCCGCTGCACATTGCGGAGGTGGGACTTCCAGAACTGCAGGTGGCGGCGGGAGATGAGGGCTGCGCGGATGGCGTTGTCGAAGACGTCCTTGATGCCGAACTGGGCCACCACGCTGGTCTCATAGTAGGGGATGCCCAGCTCCTTGGCCACCTCCCTTCCCTTCTCAGGGGGAAGAATCTCATTGGGCTTGATGGGCCTGGACGTTCAAGAGGGCAAAGCAAAGTCATGTTGGGGAGGGTGGCGGACAGGGGGAGGCAGGTCCCTAGGGCCTGCCTGTTCTTCACCAGGCCTGGGGGGG